TAAGAAACTTCAGGTTCGAAGAGAAGAGAAAGTGAAGGAGGAGAAAGAGTGATGAGAGAACAGTAGAACACAGGTTTTGAGGAGAAGAACAGAATCTCAATATTCTGCCACCGCCACTTTAAGTTAATATTTATATGTTATGCTAGTTACATGAAAGGATACATCTGCCCTTGGTGTTTACATCATAATACATAATAATATAAAACTGAAAAGTAAATAACAATTAGAATAACAGAATAATAAATTGACCACAGCTGTGACTAGATACATATTCTACCCTATGGATAGAGTGGGACCACATCTGTGGGGCCTACATCAATGTTCTCTACGCTCCCCCTCAAGTTGGGAGTAAATGTTCATTATTCCCAACTTGGATAGATCCGCTTCTAGCTTCTTTCTTGATACGATTTTAGTGAGGATGTCTGCTAGTTGCATACTGTATGTGATGTAAGGGAGGCATACTTCTTGAGATGAGACCCTCTCTCATATAAAATGGCGGTCAACTTCAATGTGTTTGGTTCTGTCATGTTGTACTGGATTATGTGCTATATTAATGGCTGCTTGATTATCGCAATACAGCATCAGGGGCTTCTCATACTCAATACCCAACTTCTCAAGTAGAGATCTTAGCCATAGGATTTCAGCCACTCCGTTGGCCATGGATCTGTATTCTGCTTCAGCACTTGACCGAGAGACAACACTTTGTTTCTTACTTCTCCAAGAGACAAGGTTTCCTCCCACAAGGGCACAATATCCTGAGGTAGACCTTCTGTCATCAACACTCCCAGACCAATCAACATCTGTATAGACCTCCACTTTCATGTGGTTGTTGTTCTTGAACAGTATACCCCTACTCGGGCATTTCTTCAAGTAGGCTAAGATTCTTTCTACCGCAAGAAGATGTGTGGTTCTAGGAGAATGCATGTACTGGCTGACAACACTAACAACATAAGTAATATCTGGCCAAGAAACAGATATAGGAGCTTTCCTACCAATTGCTGGAACATAACTTTGTCTTCAAGAAGTTCCCCACTCTCGACACTAATTCTGTGGTTCTGTTCAATTGGTGTATCTGCAGGCTTGACACCTAACTTTCCAGTTTCTGCCAACAGGTCTAGGACATATTTCCTCTGAGAGATAAAAATCCCCTGTTTGGATCTAACAACTTCAATACCCAAAAAATACCGGAGTGCACCAAGGTCTTTTACCTCAAATTCTTGATGAAGGAGTTGCTTAAGGGACTCAATCTCATGGCTATCATTCCCTGTGACCACAATATCATCAACATAAACTGCCAATAGTGTGAAGGAGGACTCCACTCTCTTGATGAATAGGGTATAATCTGACTGGGCCTATACATAACCAAACTTCACAAGGGCTAGTCTGAATCTATCGAACCAAGCCCTAGGTGACTGTTTTAAACCATACAAAGTCTTGTTGAGCCGGAAGACCTTCTTATCTATCTCTGCATCATAGAATCTAGGAGGCAAACACATGTAAACTTCTTCCTACAAATCTCCATTCAGAAAGGCATTTTTCACGTCCATTTGGTATAAAGGCCAAGTGTGACTTGCTGCAAGGGATAATAGGACTCGAATAGTGGTCATCTTGGCTACCGGTGCAAAGGTCTCCAAGTAATCTATGCCATAAGTCTATGTAAACCCTCTTGCAACTAATCGAGATTTATACCTCTCAATAGATCCATCTGCATTATGCTTCACCGTAAATATCCATCTGCATCCAACTGGTTTCTTTCCTTTGGGCAGATCAACTACCTTCCAAGTGTTGTTTTTCAACAGAGCATCCATCTCAGCTTGCATTGCATCTTTTCATTCCGGGACGGATAGGGCTTCTTGCACTGTTCTTGGAATAGGGACATTGGAAATGGAACTAATGTAGGACCTGTAGGTAGGAGATAGGCGATCATAGGATAAAAAATGGGAAATACAGTGGGCTGTAGATGTGGTACAATGTCGTTTCCCTTTACGGACTGCAATCGAAAGGTCAAGATCATCTGTAGAAGGTGAAATGGCTGGGACTGTAGTACCTAGACCTGGAGCTGCAGATGAGATTGGAGTTAGCCTGGACTGCTGATGATCAGGATCAACCTGCCTGCACCGCCTGTGATAGACCCTCAACTCCTAATCCCTCTAACCACCCTCACCATCGCAGCTCTCCCTCAACTCCTGATCCCTCTAACTACCCTCACCATTGCAGCCCTCATCACCTAATGGAATAGGTAAAGGAACTGCCCCACTCTCACTGCTCTCCCCCTGAAGACAAGGACTCAAACCCCCACTCTCACTTCTCTCCCCCTAAGGGGAAACCCGAGGATAATAGGGTGTTCCCTCAAAGAAAGTGACATCCATGGAGACAAACTTCCTCCCTAAGACATGATCATAGCAGCAATAACCCTTTTGAGTTTGTGCATAACCAAGGAAGTGCATTTGGAGGCTTTGGGTTCGAACTTGGAGTGATGGGGTCCGAGAAGCTGAACAAAACAGGTACAACCGAATGTCTTAAGGGGAATAGAAAACAAGTCCTCACGTGGGTGTAGGAGGGAAAAAGGAGATCTCATATCAAGGACCCTGGAAGGAACCCGATTAATAAGGTATACCGCAGTGAGGATAG